ATTGAAAGTCAAACTATCATCCCCAGGATGATGAAGTCCCTGATGTCACGGAGAACTGCCTACTTGAGCGGAGAGACATTTACTGCAGGCGGCAGAACTGAGGGAGCCAGAAAGAGGTGATGCCAAAAAACAGTGGTCCTAAAACTGTGATCTCCCCGACTAGAAGCATCAGTGCCATCTTGGAACTGGTTAGAGATGCAGAATCTCCAGCCCCCCCAATCCGGTGCTGCAGTCCCGGAAGGTCTGAGGTGGGGCCCAGTGTGTTTTAACAAACCTGGCGGGTCCCTTGATGCACATTGAAGTTGGGGAGCCACAGCCCTAGAAGCCTGGGAGATGTGGCAGGGCCCCAACCTCAGAGCCATGAGGTGGATCACCAGTAACTTGTGACTAATGAGAACAACGTGTGAACTCGCTCCCCTCATGACTTAAAGCAAAGCTTTCCCTGTGATAGCATCACCGCCCCTGACGTTCTGATTGGAGAGAACTGGGTGACACTACAGAAGCAACTGGAACTTTCCAGAACCCTGAGCAAACCTGTGGAGGTGGGGCAAGTGTGGGAATGTGGACAGTTGGATGTTGCTCTGGGGAATGTTGAGACCCAGCTCCCTCTTTTTTGGCTGCTAGGATTGAGGTCCCAGAGGGCAGGGAAGAGTCAGAGGCCAGGACTGACTCCAGAACTCTCTTGCTCCCTTGGGCCCCTCCTCAGCCTCGCTGCTCCTTCCCCAAGTCCCTCCCTGTGGCTGTGTTCCTCTGGGTCCTCCCTTCTTCCCTTCACATGGTTGCCCTAGAGTCAGCAGCCCACTCAGCGGCCTTGACCAGCTCTCTGCCCTCCAGAATGACCCTGAGTCCCACAAACATGATGCTCCAGGAGGTCAGGCAGCACCAGCTGGAGAAGAAATCAAAACCACAAGTCCCCAAAGACATTAAGCAAACTCACAACTATTTACAGGGCACCTGCTGTGCAGAGGACCCTGCACCAGGAACGGGGACTGAAAGAACCTATACAAGGTCACTGCTTTCAAGGGGTCGGTGAAGAGATGAGGCATAAACCCATCACAGTTACAGAGGCAGTACAAGCTCCAGGAACCCTAGAGGGAGAGACCACAAGGCACCACAGGGTGTTTGGCCCAAAGGATGTACCAGACAATCAACAAAATTAGGAGTTCTGAGCATGCAGATGCCATTGGAAGGCTTGTGGAGGAGAAAGGACACAAGTTGGGTCTTGGGGGATGAAGAGAACACGCAGGGGTAGCGGAGGGACGGCGGTCACCCCAACCAAGCGGCCAGTAGGTAGAGAAGCCTCAGCGTGGGCAGGGGAACATACACAGATCTTAGAAGACTGTCATCATGAAGGGCAGGAAGTTTGGCAAGAGTTGGAGGTGTATGCAGAAGCCTGGGAGGAGAAGAAGCTGGGAGCCAAGTGGTCAGAAACCTTGATAACTGGAGTAAAGATTTCTGAAATTTGTTCTAAGGCCAGGGTTTCCCAAAGCGTAAGTATATTTCTCAGAATATTTTCTTTGTAGAATTTTAATAGATGTTATAGGACTAAATGGGTTCTGGTATCCATTCTAATGTGGGGAGGGGGATTTCCCACACCAACAAGCAATTTTCAGGACACAGCTGGGTGTCCCACAATTCAACTCAATCCTGACACTATCTACCTGGAGCTAGCATCAGATCCCACAGGCTAAGGGAATCCTACAAGACTGCCCCCCCCAATTCAGATGCCAGTCGCAAGCCCAGGTTGCTACCTGCGCTTCTGACCGACTGTCTATACATCAGAGGTTCCCACGACCCCAGCCTCCGGATCGGTTAATTTGCTAAAGCAGCTCACAGAACTCAGAGAAACATTTTACTTACTAGAGCACCAGTTTATTATAAAAGGACATAACTCAGGACCAGCTAGATGGAAGAGATGCCGAAGGCAAGGCATGGGGCAAGGGCACAGGGCTTCCACTTCCCTGCAGATGCACCTCTCTCCCAGCACCTCCTCATGGTCACCAACCCAGAAGCTCTCCAAACCCCTGTCCTTTTGGGTTTCAATGGAGGCTTCATTACATAGGCGTGATTGATTAACTTATTGGCCATGGGCAACAGAGCTCCGTCTTCAGCCCCTCTTCCCTCCCCAAGGGTCAGGGGGATGGGACTGAAATCCTACAGTTGATTCTCCTGGCATCCAGACCCCATCCTTAGGTGCCTTCCAAAAGTCACCTCATTAACACAACAAGTGACATCTTTGTTGCTCTCATCACTTAGGAAATTTCAAGAGTTGTGGGAGCTCTGTGCTGGAAATAGGGTGAAAACCAAATATATACAGTATTTCTTACTATAAATCACAATATCACAGGACAAAAGAGTTTCGCACACTCATAGGTCTTAGACATTCTGGGCTGGACAGTTTTTCAGGTGTCTTACCTGCAGGATCTCTTGAATTGTGAATCTCTAAGAGGGAGATGTCGCATGCAGCGTTGTCCAAACTTATTTGAATACCAAACACTTTTTCGAGGACTAGAGCTCCAGGTAACAAACTCGGTTTATAGATTCCGGTTGGTGGGACTGCTCCTGCTGTGATCTCCTTAACAGCTTGTTAAGAATACAGCTTCAGAGGGCTCCTTCAGGCCTTCTGAAGCAGAGTTACCACCCAGGTGAGTGCAATGTGTAATCAAGTTGGGGAGGATTGTTTTCCATTGTTGCAGCTGAAGTCGGAGGTGCCAGTGGTGATGGGAAGGGAAGGTGGGAGGAAGAAGGTGGAGGAATAATGATAAGACCATATGGCTTGGATATGGAGGTACTGAGGGGATATGGGGCACTGAGGGGATATGGGGGCACTGAGGGGATATGAGGCACTGAGGGGATATGGAGGCACTGAGGGGATATGGGGGCACTGAGGGGATATGGGGCACTGAGGGGATATGGGGGCACTGAGGGGATATGGGGCACTGAGAGGATATGGAGGCACTGAGGGGATATGAGGCACTGAGGGGATATGGGGTACTGAGGGGATATGGAGGCACTGAGGGGATATGGGGCACTGAGGGGATATGGGGCACTGAGGGGATATGAGGCACTGAGGGGATATGGAGGCACTGAGGGGATATGGGGCACTGAGGGGATATGAGGCACTGAGGGGATATGGGGCACTGAGGGATATGGGGCACTGAGGGATATGAGGCACTGAGGGATATGGGACACTGAGGGGATATGGGGCACTGAGGGGATATGAGGCACTGAGGGGATATGGGGCACTGAGGGGATATGGAGGCACTGGGGGGATATGGGCACTGAGGGATATGGGGCACTGAGGGGATATGGGGCACTGAGGGGATATGGAGGCACTGGGGGGATATGGGGCACTGAGGGGATATGAGGCACTGAGGGGATATGGGGTACTGAGGGGATATGAGGCACTGAGGATATGGAGGCACTGAGGGGATATGAGGCACTGAGGGATATGAGGCACTGAGGGATATGGGGCACTGAGGGGATATGGGCACTGAGGGGATATGGGGCATGAGGGGATATGGGCACTGAGGGATATGGGCACTGAGGGGATATGAGGCACTGAGGGGATATGGGGCACTGAGGGGATATGGGCACTGAGGGGATATGGAGGCACTGGGGGATATGGGGCACTGAGGGGATATGGAGGCACTGGGGGATATGGGGCACTGAGGGGATATGGGGCACTGAGGGGATATGGGGCACTGAGGGGATATGGGGCACTGAGGGGATATGGGGCACTGAGGGGATATGGGGCACTGAGGGGATATGGGGCACTGAGGGGATATGGGGCACTGAGGGGATATGGGGCACTGAGGGATATGGGGCACTGAGGGATATGGGCACTGAGGGATGGGCTGATTGGCAGGGACACTGAGGATATGGCGCACTGAGGATATGGGGCACTGAGGGGATATGGGGCACTGGGGGGGGGTATCAGAGGTACAACTGGTCACGAACAGAATAGAGATGGGAAGGAAAACCTCATTTTATAGTCGAAGCAACCTACACTTGTGGAGGGGCTCATGGTTTACAAAGTGTCTTCCAAAATACCAGCACTGTCTTCCTTACTGTCCCATGAATTGGATAGGAAAAGCATCACCTCCATTTTTTTGGTTTGAGGAAACCAAGCTGAAGTGAAGTGGACAGGTGCTGTTTTTCTTTGCACTGTCCCACATCCAGCTCCTCTTTTCACTCTTAGGAGTTGCTAGTGGGACAGTCTCCCACCTCGCTCCGGAGAGGTGACGTGGGAGGAGCAGCAGCATCCGGATACTTGTGCCAGCAGCAGGTCCTGCCTTGACTGCCTCAGGGCTCGACCCAGGCTGTGGTAACCACGGTGTAGCCTTGGAATGCCATGCTTTCTCACGCTTTTCCAAATCTGGCTCCCCAGCCTGCCTCCCCGCCTATTGTGTGAGCTACCCAATGTCCCTGGATACGTGCCTTTTCTGTCTGAGTTAGCCAGAGCAGGTTTCCGTGGCTTTCAGAAGCCTGACTTGAGTCAGAAAGCTTAAGTGTGGGCATGAACTCCATTCTCAAGATTCAAAATTCAGCACACCTTCCGCTGGGCCAGGCGGTGGCATTGAAAAGTACAATGAGTTTGATTTTAGTCCCATGATAATGCAGAGATGAATATCCTCTGGGAATTTCCAGCAGGCATTTGGAGATGTACGACTAGCAAATGGGATAAAGGTCACGGTAGAAATACGGATTTAGGAATCAATTCCACTGAAGTCATAGGCGCTAATGCAATATCTTGCAACATAGGGCAAGCTGGGACAGCCAACACTTGAAGTTCTTTGGTGATCCAAGGTGAGAAGATTAGTTTGAAAAGTTCTCCTGAGAAGTTTTGGAAAGAGAAGGAACATAGCTTGGCAGAGCAATGTGGAAAGGCCACTTGAGAAGACAGAGGCAAACACCACTGATGTTTAGGGAGGCAATTTCTCCATACAGAAAGGAAAAGTAATAGCAATATAAAACCAAAACTTTCACTCAACAGTATGTACTGTATGATTCCATTTTATTTTTTTTTTAACGTATATATTTGCATAAGAATCTAGAAGGATCTGCATCACGACCTTTGCTGCAATTCTCCCTGGAGGCTGCAATCGCAATTTTGTTTCCTTCTAATCTTATTTTCCACATTAAGCATTCATTAATTTTTTCCAGATATCATTTGTATACCATAAAATTCACAAAATTAAAATTCATAAAATTTCAAAGTGTCCAATTCAGTGTTTTTTAGTATGTCCACAAAGTTGTACAACTATCATTCATCATTGCAAAAAGAAACCCTGCACACATCAGCCATCACTCCCCACTGCTGCCCTCCCTCCAACCCTAGGCAACCACTAAATACTTTTTATCTGTCTCTATGGATTTGTCTGTTCCAGATGTTTCATGTAAATGGAATCATGCAATAGGTGGCCTTTTGTGACTGGTTTCTTTCACATAGGATGATGTTTTCAAGCTTTGTCCATGTTGGAGCATGTGTCAGTACCTCACTGCTGCTTGTTGCCAAATAACGTTCCATTGTATGGCTCCACCACATTTTGTCCATCCGTTCGTTAGTTAATGGACACTTGAGTTGTCTCCACCTTTTGGCTATTGTGCCCAATGCTGCAATGAACATTGATGTACAAGTTTTCGTGTGGACACGTTTTCAGTTCTGTTGGGTATATACCTAGAAGTGGAGTTGCTGGGCCATATAGTAACTCTATGTTTAACTTTTGAAGAAGGTTCTGTTTGGAAAACAGTTTTCGAAAAGGTCAGCACCATTATCCTTTCCCACCAGCAACGTATGAGGGTTCCGGTTTCTCCACGTGCTCACTAGTACTTGTTAATTCGTTAACATCACTTCTTAGAATGGACAGAGAGCACATGTGCTAAAGGAGCTGAAGACTTACTTTTTTTCCAACAAATTTAATCCTTTTTGTGATTTTTTCCTCAGATGAAATATAAACATGCTAAGATTTTCTGTTAGAATAGTGCTATAAATCTGGCATCTATTGGATTCTTAGTCTGGGAGGGCTCATGTAGAACTCTCTGCATGCGTTATCCCATTGAATATTTACAGAAAACCTTGACCTTGGAACCTATTCTAGAAATGAAGAAAATAGTGTTCAGAGGTGAAGTGACTTGATGAGCATTATAACACTGCCCCAAAGCCAAAATTCTTAACCCTCATTGTGACATCTAAAACCTCGTCTCTCCCTTCTCCTGAGCTTTTCTGGATGTACACCTGAAGAACATTCGATAAGGCCCATCATGTGTCATCCACATATTTTCCCACTGGAAAAAAAATCTTCCTCAAGATGATTTTGCACAAGTAAGTCAGCTGCAATTTATCACACTCTGAATGCTAACAAATTCTCCGGATGCAAAACCTATAGCATATGTATAAATAATTTGACTCAGCGGAGTAAACATTAATTCAATGCTTTTTAAAAAAATGAATGACATTGTTTCTCTGAGTTGTGGTGATATCTCTCTCCTTCTGGATTTTTTATTGGCTCATTGCTGCCAATAGGAATGGTTTCTAAAACTGATTAGCCTCGAGAAAGATTTTATAATCAAATAAATCTGAAGTTAGGCGTGCTTTCAAATTTGTTTAGAAGTGAGATATTTTTTTCCAACTATACCTTGCTTCCCAAAGAAAGCTGGTATCTTTTGTGTTGTAAAACATGTCTGCTTCTCTGATTTCAAGGGACAGTGGGACCAATTCTGCTTGTCATTGGCCAATTTCAGCTCCTGAGAAAGACCTGTGGAGCAAGTAGATGTGAATAAGATCTGAATAAAGCATATTATTAGATCTCAAAGAGAATCAATAGAATCTAATGTAGTTTTCCTTGCGTTGCATCAATAAAGCACCGTTGTTAGGAAAGCATTACAATCTTGTCTTCTCTTGGTTTGAAGGCCTGTTTTCTGTCGTGATAGGGGCTGATTTGCCTCTGGGTCATCTGTCCTAAAGAAGGATGTGTTTGGTTTTGTAATGCATCATTGCTGCAAACATAACTTAAGGCTCAGAACACCTAGGGAGATAGATTTATGTTTATTATCTGTGCTTTATAAATAAATTTTAACCTGGAAAGATTACATGGCCTAACACACATTCAGCTACATTTGGAAGGTTGATCCACGGTTCTAGGCTGAGCCTTAATCTGCTTAAAATCAGGAGAAATCTAGGGGATTGCAGGCTCACCCCTGACTTCACTGCTGTTGAAATGGGGGCCAGTTGGGTAAAGGGCTGTTAGAGGCTGAATGGGCCCCCCTAGAATTCATATGCTGAAGCCCTAACCACCAGTACCTCAGAATGTGACTGTATTTGGAGACAGAGTCTTTAAAGAGGTACTCAAGTTAAAATGAGGCCGTTAGAGTGGGCCCTGATCCAATACCACTGGTGTCCTCATAAGAAGGGGACATTTGGACACAGACATGCACAGGGGGAAGACGATGTGAAGACACAGGGAGAAGAAGGCCGTGCACAAGCCAAGGAGAGAGGCCTGGGACAGAGCCCTCCCTCACAGCTGCCAGGAGGAACCAACCCTGCCCACACCTTGAGCTTGGACTTCTAGCCACCAGAACGTTGAGAAAATAAATTTCTGTCATTTAAGCCACCCAGTCTGTGGGACTTCATAACAGCAACCCCAGCAAACTCATACAGAGGCCTTTTCTGCCACTTTATCCACAATGAGTCAGAGACACAGGTCTCCTGACATCCAGCTCGATGCCCCAAGACTGAGCCTTTGAGCCTCACTGTGCTGGACCCAGAAACGACAGACATACCAGCTGTTTGGGGCTTACGTGCCCCATGTTCATCTTAGATTCCACAGGGAAACAGGGTGAATCCAGCACTGCAGTCTCCTCTCTGGTCAGGGCTTCCTTCCCCAGCAACTCTTCATGAAAGATTTGGAATTAGCCTTCTGGTCAATGGATGAGGTTGAGTTGACATCCCAGCTTTCTCTCTCCAGTTCTCGTGCTGAGGAAAGTTTCTCCCGGGAAACCTTCTTTGGTCCAGATCCCCAGAGGTGGCGCCCACCCAGACCTTCTGTTCTCTGTTAAGAGGGGCCCTTTGTTCTCGTAAAGCATGCAGCCACACTGCCCTCTCCCCCGGGGAGCAGTCCTGCCTCTTCGCTGGGGCCCTAACTGTTTCTCTGAAGAAGGAGAAACAGTAACGAGCCACCACGCTAAGGGTTCACCAGGCACGGTCTCATTTAATCTTCACAACTCCCTGAGGGAAGGTGTTACCATCTCCATTTGCTGGTTGGAGAAACTGAGGCACAGACAGGTTAAGAGCTCACCCCAAATTCACACAGCTCGCAGGTAGAGGAGTAGATTTGCCTTCTAGTCTCTGACCTTAAGGTCTGAGCTCTTGCCACTGCAGAATGCTATGATCCTGTTGAGAGAAAGGCAGCCAGGTTGCCATCCTCCTCACGGCTGGGAGTCTTGGGCTTAGCCACCTCCCTCCCAAGATAACAACGGTGAAAAGGCCCAGCGAGGACCTAGCCGAGCTAGTGCTCACGACATTTAGTCTCTGGAAGCTTCAGAGTCCCATTGCTGGAGTGGCTGACAGACTGCTTTCCATGGGGCTCTAGAACAGCACCGCTCAAAGGCTTGGTCACTGCTCCACAATGAGATGAACACAGAGGTGAGAGTGAGCATTCAGAAGCATCCACACCAATTTAACAGCAGTGTTGTCAGTGGAAACTAATAATAAAGAAATGAGGGGCTGGCCAGGTGGCACAGCGGTTAAGTTCACATGCTCCGCTCTGGTGGCCCAGGGTTTGCCAGTCTGGATCCTACACACCACTTGTCAAGCTGTGCTGTGGTAGGCATCCCACATGTAAAGTAGAGGAAGATGGGCACGGATGTTAGCTCAGGGCCGGTCTTCCTTAGCGAAAACAGGAGGATTGGTGGCAGATGTTAGCTCAGGGCTAATCTTCCTCAAAAAAAAAAAAAAAGAAACAAAGAAAGAAAGACAAAGAAATAAGCTTGTATTTCACACATCTTTTTTATACAATAATTTCATTTTTCTTGTCATACATCATACCTCATCACAAATCAGGAAACTAGTCCTACACCATGGAGAGTTTGAGAAGCGCTACCCAGAGGCCAGCATAACTGAGGAGACAGAAAGATGGTGGAGAGGCACAGACGCCACGTGTTACGGACTGAATGTGTCCTCCCTGAAATGCACATGCTGAAGCCATAACCCCAATGTGATGGGATGTGGAGGTGGGGCCTTTGGGAGGAAATTAGGTTTAGAGGAGGGCATGAGGGTGAGGCCTCTAGGATGGGATTGGTGTCCCTATAAGAGGAAGAGACCCCAGAGCTCTCTCTCTCTGCCAGGTGAGGACACGGCAAGAAGGCAGCCATCTGCAAGCCAGGAAGAGCCCTCACCAGGAAACAAATCTACCCACATCTTGATCTTGGACTTCCAGCCTCCAGAGCTGCGAGAAAGAAATGCCTGTTGTTGAAGCTCCCTAGGCTGTGGTTTTCTGTTATAATGGCCCGAGCTGGCTGACACCCGGGCTCTGCTCCTGAGACCCAAGGCGCCATGGCTGTGACAGAGCCTCCTGCCATCTGGGCTACCACCACTGGCAGCATTTCTGCCTGGGGTCTTCATCAAAATTTGCGTGGGCTCCCATGACATAATGACAAAGCCATTTCCCCAGGACACAAACCAGCCCATACAAGGTGCCATGTTGGAAGGCAGGTCCCAGGGCACATCACACCCCGTTCCCTTCCTACTGCCTGACGTGGGGGCTACCTTCTGCCCACCTGCCCTCATGCCTCCTTGCGCCCAGACACCCCACAGGTTTCTATCTCAGAAAGGCAGGGCTGGGGCTCATGATCCCTTCCCTCTCATAATGCTGGTCCCCCCTTGAGGCAAGGATTCCCGTTGGAATCTCTTCTATCCCTCTTTAGCAACCAGAAAGTTCCACAGAGCAATAGTTTCCCCCCTTCAATTGTAAAATTGATTTTTATCAAGAAAAATGCCCTTTCTATATAATGCAATCTGCACGAGACTTGTTTTTGTTTTGGAAAAAAGTCCAGATGCTTTAAAAGGTTATGAACAGCCATCCCAGCTCTTCCCAACAAACCTAAGCCTGCAGCTTAGGTCATTCATTTCTCAATATCTTGGGAGAGAGAGGTCAGGGATGAAGGCAGCTCCGGGATACTGGGGGTGTAGCAGGACAAAAGGAGACCTGCCCTGCCATTAACTAAGGGGACCGTGGGCAAGGCCATGAACTGCCCTGACCTGGCACCCCACAAGGTTTTGGAGCTCTATGACCCCAAACTTCTTGATGCAGTCACTTTTACCAGCAGGCGCTCCTGTCTTTTAGGTAACCAAACAAGCAGCCAGATGGCCTGAAACGAGCCTCCCCCTGCCCCTTCATTCTCCAGGCCAACCTGTTAATAGGAAAGTAGCTGGAAGACAAGCAGCAGAGAAAAGGAAGCGACCCCGTGATGAACAGCCGATCCCTTGAGAGGACCTCTCCCTGATGGGCCAAAAGATGGTGGCTTCAGCCTCCTGGAGTTTGCCAGGGAAGTCTGCGTTTGTCTTTGCAGGTGCTTCTGTCCACAAAGCTGGATCTGGCTTCCGCCCGGCCCACTTCTCTTTCCTGCCCAACTCTTGTGGTTTCCGTCAGCCCCATGCTACCCACCTCCTGGAGTGCCCTTCCCTCCTCCATCCTGTCCTGCCTGGGGTCCAGCTGACTCAGTCCCCTCCCCTCCATCCCTGCATCCCCCTCCTCCTATGGCCTGGTTCTCCTGTGCCATCCCGAGACACATCCTCCATATTTACACAGCATTTACAGTGGACAAAGCAGGCTTGTGGAATCCTCTCAATATTGTTGATTTATTGGTTTCTAAACAAAAATCACCAGGTCTGGAGAGCTGAGAGTAATTTTTGTCCCTGCCTCCCTTGTCTGCCCAGTGTCACTGTAATGGGAATGGCCCCACAGAGTGGGGTGGCTAGGGGACATCAGGCACTTTACATACATTCAGTCCCTGCTGTGAGCCTGGCAACCCCTGTGAGGCAGGAATTAGCTCCTTTTTTTTTTTTAATTTTATTGAGGTCATATTAGCTTATAACATTGTGTAAATTTCACGTGTACATCATTACATTTCAGGTTCTGTTTAGATTGCATCATGCTCACCACCAATAGTCTAGTTTTTGTCCATGCCCATTTGCCCCTTTTGCCCTACCCGCACCCCCTTCCCCTCTGGTAACCACCAATCTGTTCTCCATATCTACATGTTTATCTTCCACATATGAGTGAGATCACATGGTATTTGTCTTTCTCTGTCTGACTTATTTTGCTTAGCATAATACCCTCAAAGTCCATCCATGTTATCACAAAGGGCATGATTTTGTCTTTTTTATGGCTGAGTAGTATTCCATTGTATATATATATACCACATCTTCTTTAGGCATTCATCCATTGATGGGCACTTCAGTTGCTTCCACATCTTGGCTATTGTGAATAATGCTACGATGAACATAGGGGTGCTTGTAACTTTTTGAATTATTGACCTCATATTCTTTGGATAAATACCCAGTAGTGGGATAGCTGGATCACATGGTATTTCTGTTTTTAATTTTTTGAGCAATCTCCGTCCTGTGTTCCACGGCGGCTGCACAGTTTGCAGTCCCACCAGCCGTGTAACAGCTAGCTTCCTTTTGTTAACGTGGAAGATGAGGCTCACCTGGATGCCTGGGTGCAGATTGGAGGCCCTGGCCCATCAACTGGTCTTAAAAAGAAATAAGCACAGGTTGGTCACATACTGACTGGGCCAATGCAGAGCGCAGAAGAGGTGGCTCAGCCCTGGGCTTGTGTGATGTCAAAGCCCTTCTCCTCCACCAAGCCTCCTGCTCTGGCCTCTGCCCTTACCCCTGGTGGTGTGGGCACTAGGATGCCAGACGAGTGAGGGAAGGTGGGAACCTAGACTTCAGTGAGGAGGGTGGCAGATGCAGAGCCTCTGTGATGCCCAGAGGAGGAGGGACCAGGAGGCCAGGAGAACCAGCTCTCCCCGCAGGAGCCACGGAAAGCTTGCCTTCCACCTAAAGAGCAGGGCAGAGGCAGCTGCCAGGAGCCAGCGGCGGCTTCACCCTTGGGAAGTTTGGGTTGGGTTGGGTTGGCCCAGAGAGTTGGGTCTGAATGGGGTTCAGAACACTGACAGGTCAGTCCTGACCCAAACGCCAGTGGAGAATCACTAAGCCCCTCCAGCTGGCTTCTCCTTTTGCATCCGCTCCCTCGCCGCTGTCTTGACATTGGCCCAGAGGACACCATCCAGCGCTTCTGAGGCCCACTGCCTGCTTCCAGGCTGCTGGAGGAGCAAGGCATTCAGAAACGCGTGACCAGGCCTTTCTGTGCTCGGGGCTTTTAATCTCCTTAATTGAAATTGATTGGCCTCTTGGGAGGCAGCTCTGCATTGGCCCTGAGCTTCAGCATGTGATCAACTTTTGCTTCTTTCTTTTAAAGACCAATTGATGCGCAAGGGCATCTAATCTTCTCGCTGAATCCCGGGCCCCTTTCCCCGCCAGGAGCAAAATCAGAAACAGGCACACTTAAAAAACAGCTCAGGAAATAAAAGCGCCTGATAAAAATAAGAGGAGAAGATTCTTGTCCCATTGTGGCCTAGCATTATACAAAAGGCCAGTCAAAACCCCATTACAGAGGCAAGATGCAATCTCCCGGGGAGGGAGCCGTGTGAGGAGAGGGGGTGTGCGCCTTCTGAAGCTCACAAGATAAATAGACTGGGCTGGGGCATGTCTCAGAACCAGCTGCAAAACAGATAAAAAGGGAAGGAAAGCGAAAGCCCTTGTTAACTTAAAAGAAAACCAAACATCGAGAGAACTGTCTGAGAATCCAGATTTGCGTTCATCCAGACACACAACCCTCACCCCAAGGGAGCTGGAGCTGGTTTACAAACCGGTTTGGCAGGTTGTGTCTAAGCCTTTAACAGGCCTCCTCACTTAGCAGACTGATGCCATACTCTGGAAGTGTCCCTCTGGGGGCTCTCCTGTGCCGTGCTGGTGGGCCATTTCACCACTGGGCGCTGGACTTGAAAGTGGCTATGCTGGGGAGGCTCAGGCCACCTCAGAGCTTCCAAGCCCTGGGCTCTGTCCCTCACAGGCTGCATGGGGTGGCACCAGGACACAAGAAGCACCTTTGAGGTAAGGAAGCACAGCGCTGACAAGTCAAGTAATCATTATGAGTGACAAACTCCTTCTAAGGACATCTGGCTGCCCAGCCTTCTAGAGATCAAGTTGAAGGGGATCACAATATGCCACCCCAAAATATGCCACTTTGACATGAGGATTATTTTAAACTGAAGGCAACTGAGAATCGACAAAATGCAGGAAGAGTTCTCTTCCCTCCTCTTTTCTGCCTAAGTCAGGGCATAAATTTCCCTTTGTGAAGGTGTCTGCCTCTCCTGGACTAGGAAGAGGAGAGCGACTCACCACCAAGACAGAGCTGTTATCGAGATGAGTCTGCATAAACAGACCTTACTAAAATACCCCTTATCTTCCATTAGCTCTCCCCATACATATCCTAGTCACTTCCCCATAATTTATCATCCCTTGAAGCCCAAACCTCCTTTCCTTGGTTAAAGATGGTATATAAGCTCCTGAGTCAAGTCTAACCATCTCTTTGAGTTTCCCTTCTTTGCTGTGAACTCCTGTGCAGTAAAATATTAATAAAATTTGTATTCCTTTCCTCCTGTTAATCTATCTTTTGTTGGTTAAATTTGCAGGCCCCCAAGCACTGAACCTAAGAGGATAGAGAAAAAGTATTTCCTCCCCAACAACATCCAGAGATCCAGATTTAAAAAGCAGAGATCCAGCTTGTTTGCTGCAGAAAGCTCCATTTTCAAACAAATTCAAGTTGAAAGTGGTTCTTAGTCTCCACTTTCCCTAGAAGCAAGAATGTGACATAAAAGTGAAGAAGAGGGTGAGCCCATAGCTGTCTCAGTCATCATGGGCCAAATCTTCCTCACACACACACACAAATCAGTTGTGTTTCTATACACTAACAATGACGTACCAGAAAGAGAAATTAGGAATACTATCCCATTTACAATTACAACAAAAGGAATAAAATACCTAGGAATAAACTTAACCAAAGAAGTGAAAGATCTGTACACTGAAAACTATAAAGCGTTGTTAAAAGAAATTGAAGATGACACAAAAAAAATAGAAAGATATTCCATGTTCTTGGATTGGAAGAATTAACATATTTAAGATGTCCATACTTCATAAAGCAATCTACAGATTCAATGCAATCCCTATCAAAGTTACAGCAACGTTTTTCATAGAAATAGAATGAAGACTCCCCAAATTTATATGGAATAGCAAAAGACCCCAAATAGTCAAAAGAATCCTGAGAAAAAAGGACAAAGCTGGAGGTATCACACTCCCTGATTTCAAAATATACTACAAAGCTATAGTAACCAAAACAGCATGGTACTAGCACAAAAATAGACACAAGGATCAATGGAACAGAATCGAGAGCCCAGAAATAAACCTAAACAACTATGGACAGCTAATTTTCAACAAGGAGCCAAGAACATACAATGGAGAAAGGAAAGTCTCTTCAAAAAATGGTGTTGGGAAAACTGGACAGCCACATGCAAAAAATGAAGGTAGACCATTATCTTATACTCTATACAAAAATTAACTCAAAATGGATTAAAGTTGAATGTAAGACCTGAAACCATAAAACTTCTAGGAAAAAACATAGGCAAGATGCTCTTCAACAATGGTCTTAGCTTCATATTTTGAAGTACCATGTCTGACTGGGCAAAGGAAACAGTAGAAAAAATAAACAAATGGGACTACATCAAACTAAAAAGCTTCTGCACAGCAAAGGAAACCATGAACAAGACTAAAAGACAACTTAACAATTGGGAGTGGATATTTGCAAAGCATATATCTGATAAGGGGTTAACCTCCAGAATATTTAAATAACTCATACATCTCAACAATGAAAAAACTAAAAGCCAAATTAAAAAATGGGCAAAAGATCTGAACAGACATTTTTCCAAAGAAAATACGCAGATGGTCAATAGGCACATGAAAAGATGTTCAACATCACTAATTATTAGGGAAATGCAAATCAAAACTACAATCAGATATCACCTCATGCCCGTCAAAATGGTTATAATTAACAGGACAAGAAATAAGTGTTGGAGAGGATGTGGAGAAAAGGGAACTCTCACACACTGCTGGTGGGAGTGCAAACTGGTGCAGCCACTATGGAAAACAGTATAGAGATTCCTCAAAAAATTAAGAATAGAACTACCATACAATCCAGCTATTCCACTGCTTGGCATTCATCCAAAGAGCATGAAAACATGAATGCATAAAGATTTATGCACCCCTATGTTCTTTGTGGCATTATTCATAATAGCCAAGACTTGGAAACAAACGAAGTACCCATCAAGGGACAAATGGACAAAGAAGATGTGGTATATATACACAATGGAATACTACTCAGCCATAAAAAATATTGAGTCTTGCCATTTGCAACAACATGGATGGACCTTGAGGTTATTATGCTAAGCAAAATAAGTCAGAGGGAGAAAATCAAGTACCATATGATCTCACTCATAAATAGAAGACAAGAACAACAACAACAAACAAACACATAGATACAGAGATTAGATTGGTGGTTACCAGAGGGGAAGGGGGGAGGGGGGAGGGCGAAAGGGGTGACTGAGCACATATGTATGGTGATGGATGGTAATTAGACTTTGGGTGGGAAACATGATACAGTCTACACAGAAATCGAAATATAATGATGTACGCTTGAAATTTATATGTCATAAACCAGTGTTACCTCAATAAAAATGTTAATTAAGTAATTAATTTTTAAAAAAAGAAGAAGAAGCTGCCTGTTATATCACCTTCCTTGGGCAGGTTGGGGTTGGGGGATGGTGTTGGCAGACACTTGTAGTAAGTCCCTTCCTGCTGCACAAGCTTTAGCAGTGGCAGAGAGTGAAGGAGGGACCTAATGTGGGGACAGACAGGATGGGGGTGGGGGAGAGCCCTACTAGGTAATTTGTTTACAATAGCCCAGTGCCTACTGCGGGGAGATGGCAGAACAGGTAGGGTACCATGACAAGTTCGGAACAAGCTTCTCAGGCTGGAGAACTTGACCCTACTTTAGGGAGATAGGAAAGTTCTTAGGGATAGGATTTGGTAGACCACTTGTTTTTTGGTACAAAATCTCCCAACTTAGACAAAGAGTGAGTACCAAAGAAGAGACACACATCACTGTGAAAATGCCCATCAGCCTGCTCCAGAGCAGCAAGCAGGGCTTAAGAATAGAAAACTTACCATTTAGTACCTTGTCACAGTAACCACGGACTCTCCTAGAGAGCTGTTATCAATGGCTACTTCCACTGCGGCATGTTTGAGCTCCCTTGTTAACACCACTTGTGCACACAACGATGGACACTGTGGGCAGAAAGAAGCCGGCATATGAGAGCAGCTAATCCAGCCAAGGCCTGGAATGACAGTGCTGGGAGGGCAGACCCAAGGGCACAAAGGACAACCCAGAGGGGTGAGAAGTTGGAGGAACCTGAGGGACAAGCTGCAGCACTCCAAGCCCCTGAGAGAGAACACCACGGTGCTCTAGAAACCACAACGTTCCCCTCACTACACCTTTCCACAAAGTCCCCATTATGCTCCTCCCAAATTGCTTTCTTTCAAAAACTCATGGAACCCAAACAGTTCATGAAAATGTTGACCAACTCTGCCGTCAGATTGGCTGTTAAGTACATAAGACTCACCACCTAGAGCACAGATCTAACCTCCCTGTGAAATGTACACAACTAAGAGGAAGGGGCCTTGGCTTATGCAAATGTCAACCAATCACACCTTGCAGACACAACCCTGGCCTGAATCAGATAAGGGCAAAACCAAGTGAGTGACTCTTACCAGCCCAGCTGTTTTTAGACCAAAAGTTTTTAGACCAAAGTTTGTAGACACCATGGACCTGTTCTCATAGCTTGTCCATTACTACATTTCCATTGTCATAGCCTTGAACACCTACAGGGCATTGCATGTTGTACAGGCCATAAACCTAGGCCTTGAGAGTCTAATCTAACCCATACTAATGGGAGGTGCAAAGACCAGAAAAGCTCCAGAGGTGTTCTGAAAACATCATATGATGAACAGCTTTCAACATCCAGAATTTAACCATATGAGACAGGTCTGCAGCTTCCTGCACTTCTGATCTCTGGGTAACACCACCTTCCGCCTTTTTGTTCTCCCAGCCCTTCCACCAGCTTTACGACTCAATTCCCTGTATTAAATCCCTCTCTGTTTGAAAGACCTAAAGTGGCTTCTGGGTTTTCTGACCGAAAACTTACTGATGAAACTTCTTCAAATTTTTTTCTTTTGGACATTGTGTCAATATCCAAGTTTTCATGTTTGGGTCCCTGGCCTTTTTCTTCGTTTTGCTGAGCTCCTCAATAAGATCTTTCCATTTTTAATTTTTTGGTTGTTGATGTTTCTTCCCACCACCTTCTCAACGTTGGTAAAATTTGATGCTTGCCCCACATTGTGTTCCGCTGCTTTTAGACCACTGCTACATTAGTTATAAAACAACCTTAAAGCACTGAGCAGGCCTAATCCCTTCCTCTGGGGACACCTCTGGGCTTCACTGAATCTTTTGTTCCACTGGATCATTAACAAAGAAGGTCTGTCACAGCAGGACTCTGCCCCTGTTGATGGGACCTATGCATAACTAATGAAGAGGAAAATTGGTAGCACAATGGCCTGATCAGTCTCAACATGTTTCTAATAACTTCTACATCTCCTAATCTTCATTTCCCTATACATCTTCTCTCATTCCTAAATGAGTACCCCAAATCCTCTTTGACCCACGAATATTTTCAAGTCTCTATTTTCTCTTTCTTTCCTCCTCATCTTACAGTACTTTGTTTTGTAGAGTTTACCCCAGCTTCTCGGTCACACTGTACACATTTTAAGGATTAGTTGCCTTGATCTCTAGTTGTGGACATTAAGATGGCATAGATATCCAGCAACCTGGGAGATTTAAGAGTAGACTTTATCTTGTAGAATGCAAATACAACAAGTGATAGGTACTAGATCTCTGTTTCAAATATGAGGTAGCTATGCTTCCATAATGCTTGGAACAGTTTATTACTTGTCTAAAGTCACAGAGATTGCAGGAGGCAGAGCCAGGATTTGAACCCAGATCTTTCTGATGACACAACTCCTGCTGATTCCACCATCAAGAGGCGAGCCTCTAACAGTGACAAGGGAGCCCAGAAAAGCATCCCAGAGGCAGAAGTGAGTGCCAAAGACCTGTAGGAAGCTAAGAAAAAAATAAACAAAAGCACTGAATTTTAAATTCCAGTAAATTCCATCACTACTCTGTCAACATGAGGTACCTCTTAGATGAACATTTCATTCAGGTGTTTCTCAACAACTCTAGCAGCATTAGTATGAAAACCTCCAGTTCAGAAATGTCTTCCAGAGTCAAATTCCCCTGAGTCATATATATACATGGAATACAGTCCTACGAACAAGGAAAGAGGTGTGGCAGGTTACACAGGGAAGGAGAAGTGAGAGGTGACCAAAAGTGGGGAACATAATTACTTTCACTGTTTTACACCTATGTTTCACTTGTGACAGTGAGCATGTATTATTTTACAATTTGAAAAGCATCAAATTAAAAAGATTAAGGTCTTGGGGCAAAAACAATACTATACAGTCACCAAATCCCATTTTATTTTCTTCCTCCTGCACACACAAGAAGACTACATTTCCCAGCCTCCTTTCCATTTAGTTTGGGTTTATATAACCGGGTCTTGACCAAAGGGATGTGGGCAGAAGTGATGTAATATACCACTACCAGTCCTGGCACATACAATCCCCTATGTCATCACCCACACTCTCTCTTCCTATTTGGTGGCAAACTTTGAGGCCACGTGATTAAGATGACACCATTGCAAGATGGGTGGAGCCTAGATCCCTGAATCAATTATTGGAGGAGAGCCGCCAAGGAGAGCCACCTGCTCTACATCAGATAAGGACCTGTTGTATTCAGCCACTGAGAATAAGGGGTTTCTTTGTTACTGCAGCCCAGCCCTGCCTGTCCTGACACATATGGTGCTCATACATGCCAGGAAATGTCCCACAGGGGTCCTGAGAGCCTCTTGGATACTTCACACCTGGAAATAGCGTTTCAGTGTTTCTGCTAACTGGATCTTTTCAGATGCTAACTTTGCATGAGGACATATTTCTGAGTATAGTTCCTTCCCTTCTTCTGCCTCTGAATTACCTTCTCATCCTCACTTTGCTGTGGTGTGTTTGTTCCAAAGGGAAATAAATCAAGGGCTTATCAGGAAGGAAATGGTACACCCACTTTCATTTTTGTTTAAACGAGACCTGAAAAGGGAGGAAATTTTACCACAATTTTATTCCCCCTCAGGGATCATTCTGAATTTTACTATCCTAATATTTACTTATTGTTGCAGTAAAACCTTGGATAAACCTCCAGGGGATGAGTTGTTCTAGACAGACAATTGTTTCACAGAACTGGAGTTAATGCAGTTAGGCCATAAAATGCTGTGGACTTTAAAATGATTTGAAGAAAATATCTATGAAGCATATTAAATGGAGGATGGTGACATGTTCTGCCTTTTTTTTTAGGGGATCCGGGATTAACCCAAGGTCCTTGAATGCACGACGTTCCCCTGAGGGGTTTGTGGGTGGCTTTACCTCTGCCTGGAACAGTCTTCCCTTCCCTTGCCCACTTCAATCCTCCTCATCCTTTGGATGTCAGCTCAAAAAACCAGTTCCCTCAGGCACATCTGTAGAATTTTACTAAACTCATCAACCTGTTCACTTAAAACGAGTGATTTTTGCGGTATGTAAATTATACCTCAATAAAGCTATGAGAAATGAAACAAACTGTCAAGGAGGTGCGTATAACACCCCCACCCCACCCTTGAATGTGGGCTGCACTACAGTACAAAGAAGGAAACGGGAAGTATGGAGAAATCTGACAGAAGCTACGTCAGCCAGGCGGTCAAGGTCAACATCCACAGTGACAGGTCAAGTTGATAGCACATACCCTTGATATGATGTGATGAAAATGGTACTCTACCTCTGGGGTCTTCTGCCCAGAAGTCATAACCTCAGTCTAATCATGAGGAAAATTCCAGCAGAGGTACATTCTACAATCTACCTCACCTGTACTCCTCAAAACTGTCAAGGTCATCAAAAACAAGGACAGTCTAAGAAACTTTCACAGCCAAGGTTGAGCCTACACAGACATGAGGACAACAACGTGGGATCCTGGAGCACACAAAGAACATTAGGTACAAACTAAGGAAACCTGAACCAAGTATGGACTTCAGTTAATAACAATATATCAATATTGGTTCCTTACTTGTGGCAAATGTACCACAGTAACATAAGATGTTAATAGCAGGGGAAACTGAGTGTGGGGTATATCGGGAACTCTTTACACTATCTTCATAATTTCTCTGTAAATCTAAAACAGTTCTAAAAAATAAATTTCACTTAATTCATATTAAAAAAATTTTTTCCCAGCCCCTCAAACCAGTTCAAGTCCCCTCGCTGTATGTTCTTATAGCAATCTAGACTATTGACTAAATGAACTCATTTATCACCATATGCAATGACGTCTGTGCTTTTTGCTCAGTGTTGTGTCCTTGGTACAAAGTTGGGGCCTGGTTCTCGATAGGTGCTTAGTAATAAACATATAGTCAGTGCCATATCATAGAATGTCTGATCCATGACAGCAGGATTGTCTGTTCTGCTCTCTACTGTATCCCCATGACCTAGAGGGCACCTGGCACATGGTAGACATTCAATAAGGAGCACTTCCTCCCCAAGTCCAGCCAAGGAATCTTCTCAATCCTCTTGAGTTTGAGATAAAGACAACTTAGCTCAATTTGCTTGATTTCTTCAATAAAGCCTACGGAGGTGTTGATGGCAGCCATATTTTTCACCAGATGAACTGAGAGGCATAGGGGACTGGTCTGTAACAAGAAAGAAAGAAGCCAACCCTCAGAGTGAAGGAAAGACAAAGGACAGAGAGAGAGGTCCTCCTGGATTCCCAGCAGGGCTGTTCCCTCTGGTTCCAGTCGATTCCCGGGCCCACTCTTCTGGGAGATGCCCCTGCTATGTGTAGTCCAGAAACCCCTGACCATCAGTCCTGCTGCTTAAGTTCAACTTCACCAAAACGTTATCCATGTTGTGTTTGTCTACCCTGTGTTTCTGTTACAAAAGACGCTAAATCAAATTAATGTAGGAAAACACCACCTGTGATACGTTGAAGAGAGAGAAACGAGACAATCGAGAACAGAAATGGGGCTAAGAAGGGGAAAGTAGAGGCCACAAGAAAGGAAAGAGGAAGAACCAGAAATACACGAAAATGGCCTAACAAGTACAGAAACAAGTAACATACGAGTTTCAAGGTGTTGGGAACTCATTCATTCAGCAAATGTGGGCCGAGCGCCTCCTAGGTGCCAGGTTCCATTCTAGGTGTCAGGAACCGAGCACTCAACAAAACTATGGAAATTACCACCCTCATGGAGCGTGCATCCTGAGGGGGAGGAGGAGAGTAGAAAATAATCAAATAAATGATTAAACCAAAGAGAGAGCAGAGACTGTTGAGTGTTTATCCCGTAGAGGTAAAATAGAGTGAGTGTGACTGAGTGGCCACTTTGTATTGGCTGGTCAGGGAAGGCCTCTTTAAGAAGGTGACATTGCAATTGGTAACTGGAGGACAAGTAAGTGCTAGAAGTGAGAAGGTGGTGAGGGTGTCTAGCCAGAGGGCAGAACCAGTGCCTTAAGGCTGCGAGGAAGTGTTCTCAAGAATAGGGAGTGGTCTGCCTCCTGTGAACGTTTAGCAACGTCTGAGACATTTCGGTGGTTTCAATGTGGTGATGGGGGGGCGGTGCTACTGGCATCCAATGGTTAGAGGGATGCTGCTAAACATCCTACACCACACAGGATAATCCCCTACGCAAAGAATTATCCAAACGTCAATGGTGCCGAGGTTGAGAAACTCTGCCCTGAGGCCATGGCAGGATTGGCATTCTCTAGATTTAGAAAGCAGGACGTTGCACCAGAGAAGAAGAGAAGAGAGGGCAGGGCTCTGAAGTAAGTCAGGGAAGTGGGTAGGGGCCAGATGGTGCACACTCTGGTATGCCATGGCAAGGAGCTGGCATTTTATTCTAAGTGTCGTGAGGAGCCCACGAATGTTTTCAAACTGGGCAGTAAACATGGACAGCTTTATTTTTGGAAACAGTTCCTCTGGCTCTTGCGTAGAATGCGGTGGGAGGGGCACGTGTGAGTGAAAGAGGCTGGGTGGCGGTTTTTATAGTAGAGCGAGGTGATGGCAGCGTGGATGGAGGGAATGGCAGCACAGACAGAGAAGTCATGAATTGAGATTGATTTCAGAGGTAGAACTCACAGTTCTTGCTGCGGAAGTGAATGTGGAGGGTGAGGGAAAGAGAGGAATCAAGGATTCGCTGAAAGTGGGGTCAGCTTCGTGGATGTGTGACCGGAGCAAGAGCCATCCCCATCCCAGGCTGGCAGTGACCTCGGTGGAGGGCTCTTGGCCACCCTGGATCCAGGTGCTGAGTACATCCCAGCATGGAGACTGCAATCCCTTTGGGGTGGCCCATCCACTACGGGATGGGGCTTACAGACCTGTGGGAAGGGGACACTGACTTCCCTACTCCTGGCTGGAGCTCCGCATCTTCATTTTACACTGGGCCTGGCAAATTATGTAGCTGGCCTTGCTTGAAGGTTTCCAGCTTGAGCAACCAGACGCTTATTTAGTGCCATCTACCAAAACAGGGCAGGGCTGGGGTGGGGTAAAAGGTACAGTTTGGGACACGTTTAATCTCAAAATGCGTATGAGACAGGCAATCAACAAGATCAAGTAGACAGTTGTGTACATCTATCTACAGCTCAGAAAAGGTATAAAGTTGCAATTCGTCAGGCTGTAGCTAGTGTTTAAAACCATGAGAATGATGGTGAAGTTGCTGTGGAAAACAGTATAATCGTTCCTCAAAAAATTAAACATGGAATTACCATGTGATCCAGCAATTCCACTTGTGGGTATCCACCCAAAAGAAGTGAAAGCAGGGCCTTGAACAGATATTTGTGCCCCCATGTTCATAGCAACATTATTCACAATAGCCCAAAGGTGGAAGCAACCCAAGTGTCTATTGACAGATGAACAGATAAATAAAATGTGACATATCCATACCATGGAATATTATTCAGCCATAAAAAAAATGAAGGAAATTCTGACACATGCTACAGCATGTGGACATTATACTGAGAGAAATGAGCCAGTCACAAATCCTACCAATATTGTATGATTCCACTTCTACGAGGAACCTAGAATTGTCAAATTCATAGAATGGTGGTTATCAGAGGCTGGGAGGAGAGGCGAATGGGGAGTTAGTGTTTAGTGGGGATAGAGTTCCAATTCAGGAAGATGAAAAAGTTCTGGAGATGGATGGTGATGATGATTTCACAATAATGTGAAAGTGCTTAGTGACATTGAACTGTACACTTAAAAATGGTTAAAATGGTGAATTTTATGTGATGTATATTTTATGGCAATAAAAAAAAGAAAGAACTTATTATTTATTGAACATTTCCTATATGCCCAGCACTGTTCTAAGTGCTTTCCTTGTTTAAAACTCATCTAACTCTTAGAATCTCTAAGGTAGGTACGACATTATCAATAACATTTTATAAACAAGGAAACTAGTGACCAGAGATGTTAAGTAATGGGTCTAAGCTCACACAGCTTCTAACTGGCCAGGCTAGGATTTAGACTCAAGCCATCAGGTTCCAGAGCCCAAGCTTTTTTTTAACATACTGTACTACTTGTCAACAGAGATTATGTCGTGTGCCGCAAGAATACATGCTTCACAGTAAAAAACTAATCTGTTAAATTAAAGGCTGAATTTACAGCCCACAGGCAGCTAGGTCCTGGCCTTTCACCATATTCTAACCCCACTTCCCAGCACAGGGCCTGGTGCAGCAGGAGCGGGGAGAGCGAGGGGAAGGACGGCTCGGGTGACAGGTCGTTTTATCATCTCTGAAAACATCGCACTGTGACCAGAGACACCCCCAGGAAATACATCCCAGGGGGTCTCCTGCTGTGTGTGCACAGGCCAGGATCACCAGGGGCCCCTCTCCTGGCCCTTAGGAGGATACAGGCCAGCAGGGCAGCCTCCAGTTCCAGGACCTGGGGAGTACACTGGAGGCTCCCTGGCGTTGGAGGGGGCAGTTACTGTGCTATTTTTGGGTTCCTTCCTTACGTTATCAATTAAACCTCTCAGACAGAAGCCATGCCAAAGCTGTGGAAACTCCAGGCCTGCAGCTGAGGAAAAGGCGGTGGTTGGACAAGCAAGTGGGAAGTTTAATTTACAAAGCAAAGTTGGAGCGGGCTGGCGGAAGGGATGGTGCAAACCGCTCGTGTGGATTCAGCTTGGAGATCCGAAGTCCCTTGTCCAGAGACACATCCCAGACTGTCAGGAAGGCACTGCCAGTTCTGGCTCTGGCAGGCCTGGGGCGCTGAGATGGGAGAAAAAAAGAAAGGGGGCAGACGACAAGGATGCGAAAGGCCTTGCTAGCTCGGGGCCTAGTCACTTGAAAGAGCAGGAGTGGCCTTCGATTTCTGGCGAGGGCAGAAGGTGGCCGAATCCCCGAGTGGGAATGACTCCCTCAGCCCCAGGAAGTCCCACAGTGTGTGAGCGGGCAGCCCCGCTTCCTAAAACTCCTGTTAGGTGTGGACCCCGCCCCGCTCACCCCCAAGACGGAATTTAACTTGACCAGTCACCATTGCATTTGAAGGATTCCTTACCTCTTGGGCCCCCTTTTGTGGTGGGAAGGCCTTTGACCCCAGTTACAGGAGCTGGGTAGCATGCTCCAGGTGGGCATGTTGGAGGCCCCTCATGATTCCTGAGCCCTTCTCTTGTCACACTCCTACAAAAAGAAGAGGATGGAAAGAGAGTGCCCTTCTCTGGTCCCCACTCCCAGGAGGGCAATTTACTCTAAGCTCTAGTTTAAAAAACAATCAGCATCTCTTTCTGGTACAGAGCTTTAAGAAGGTGCAGCTCTCCACCCACCGCCTGCCCCATCACACATCACACACCCGTCTTCCTAACCCTAATCGCTCCACAACTACGGATGTCTTGAGGTGTCTGGGATCCTCAAAAACGGACACAAATGCATTTTAATGTACATGTATGTGTATTAGCTTGCAGGGCTTCCATAACAATATACCACAGATAGGGGCTTAAACAGCAGAAGTGTATTTTCTCACCGTTCTGGAGGCTGAAAGTCCAAGATCAAGGTGGGGGCACAGTTGGTTTCTTCTGAGGCCTCTCTCGGTGGCTCGCAGGTGGCTGCCTTCTCGCTGTGTCCTCACACGGTCTTCCCTCTGTATGTGTCTGTCTTAGTCCGTTTGGGTGGCTATAATAAAATATCATAAATTAGGTGGCTTGTAAAGAGCACAGGTTTATTTCTCACCGTTCTGGAGGCTGGAAGTCTAAGATCAAGACAAGATTTGGTGGCTGGTGAGGGCCTGCTTCCTGGTTCATAGACGGCCATCTTTTCTCTGTGTCCTCGCATGGTGGAAGGGGCAAGGGAGCTCTCTCTCTTTTTTTTTTTTTTGGAGGAAGATTAGCCCTCAGCTAACTACTGCCAGTCCTCCTCTTTTTGCTGAGGAAGCCTGGCCCTGAGCTAACATGCATGCCCATCTTCCTCTAGTTTATACGTGGGACGCCTACCACAGCATGGCTGCCAAGCAGTGCCATGTCCGCACCCGGGATCCGAACCAGTGAACCCCAGGCTGCCGAAGCGGAACGTGCGAACTTAACCGCTGCGCCACCGGGCCGGCCCCGTCTCTCTCTTTTTTTTTTTGAGGAAGATTAGCACTGAGCTAACATCTGCTGCTAATCCTCCTCTTTTTGCTGAGGAAGATGGGCCCTGAGCTAACATCCATGCCCATCTTTCTCTACTTTATGCATGGGACGCCTACCACAGCATGGCCTGCCAAGCGGTGCCATGTCCACATCCGGGATCCAAACCAGTGAACCCCAGGCTGCCGAAGCGGAACGTGCGCACTTAACTGCTGCGCCACAGGGCCAGCCCCCTGGTCTCTTTTATCAGGACACTAATCCTATTCATGGGGCTCCACCCTCATGACCGCATCACCTCTCAAAGGCCCCACCTCCTAACACCATCACCTGGGAGGTTAGGATTTAACATATAAATTTTAGGGGACACACAAACATTCAGCCTGTAGCAGGGTCTGTGTCCTAATCCCCTCTTCTTATAAGGACACCGGTTGTATTGCATCAGGGTCCATCCATATGACCTGATTTTACCTAAATTACCTCTTTAAAGGCCCTTCGCTCCAAATATAGTCACATTCCGAGGTACTGGGGGTCCGGGTTTCAACATACGAATTCGGGGGGACACAATTCAGCCCAAAATAGCATGCAAATGACTGAGGGGGTTCTTCTAAACACAGCATTAGCATAGGGCCCATCAAAAATGCTTCGTTTAACTTATTGGAAATAGCTAAATTTTTCACAAGGGAGGCAGAGAATCTAGATTGCTTTGTCGTCTTCATTTTTATTCTCACTGCTTTTAAACGAAATTTCTAAAACAACACCTACAGTCATTCAAATCTGGGGATTCATTAACTATGGTTTTCTCCTAGATTTTTTTTAATACGTCAGCTCTCCCATCCAACCCCAATGCAAGGAGATATCAAAAAACTCCCACAAAAACAAACAAACAAAACACAAGAAACAACCGCAACGTGTTACCATCATCCACAGCAAGTAGAAAAATAGTGAGCAGGAGAACACAGCCTCCACTCAGCCTTCTGGAATTCGCATCATCCCACATTCCACCGAGCGGAAACGACTAGTGGTAAATTTGGTGTATTCCCTTCTTCTTGTTTTTTCTATCCATCGGTATTTTATGTGGTTGAGACCACCCTTTACATGGAAATCAGTCTTTCTTTTTACCATTCTCATTTCCTAACATCATTAAAAACTATTCATTGACATGTTGAATGGCTGCATAATATTGCATGGTGTTTCATGCCGTGATTGACTTAACCATTTCCCATGGTTGGACATTTAGGTTGTTTCCAGTTTCCAACAATACAAATAAGGCCGACAAACATCTGGCATATAACCTAGCCTGTGTTTCTGATGATTTCTTTAGGCTAGGTTCCTGTAAGTGGAATTGCTATGTCCAAGGCACACACATTTTTTTCAAGGCTTTTGGAGCACAGGAAAATAGTTGTCTTTTCAGGTTCCGTGACTTTGTGGGTCAGCAAACAATCTGTCAGGCCTTCCCCTGGTGCTAATCCAACATTTGGTCCTAAATTCTCACCAGGGCATCTGCTCACCTTCCCACCCTAGCACAATTATTGCTTCCAATAATTACAAGGTGGGTGCTGTAATGGGTACAGGGAGTAAAAAGGTAATATGGCTGTTAACAGAGAAAAAAAGGTGAGGAAGGGACGTGGAAATGCTTGCATTCATGAAGCCCTTTCGCTCTGAAGAGCTCAAAGTTTTCCAGAGACATGGTCTCATTAATTTTCATAGGTTTGTTAGTTTTCCTTCTGATCCAGATTCAAACATAAACCGTATTTATTGGCTTGTATTCATGCGTTCACTGTGCTCCTGTTTTCTTGATATTCCCTAAAATGGCTTTTATATTTGGGACTTCTGGTTCTTGCAGATGACAAAAAGCCCCAAGCTGGGTCTATTCTTCTCTCACTCTTAAGACCATAGGAGGAAAATAGGAAGGACAATTAGACCCATTTTAAGCACGAACAGAGAAGTGATGCAACCCAACACAGGACATCCGCAGCAGGGTGAAAGGAAGGACTCAGGGCAGAGGCCCTCAGTGAACACTGCACACACGGGGCTGCTTGCTTTCAAAGTCACTTGCTTTCACCTTCTTGCGTAAACTCACATTCACAATTTCTGACCTTGTAGAGATTTTTTGAAACAGATTGTGGTAGACAGACTAACAGCTCCCACAAAGATGTCCACATCCTATCGTCGAACCTGTGAATATGTTACCTTACATGGTAAAAGGGACACACTATACAGGTGTGATTAAATTAAGGATCTTGAGGTGGGGAGATTATCCTGGGTTATTGGGTGTAATCACAAGTGTTGTTATAGGAGGGAGGCAAAACTTGCATGCATCAAAGGACACTATCAAGGAGTGAAGAGACAATCCAAGAATGGGAGAAAATGTCTCAAATCAAATGTCTGATAAGGGGTTAATATCCAGAATATATAATGAACTCCTACAACTCAATGACAAAAAGACAAACAACCCAGTGCCGACCCCGTGGCCTAGTGGCTAAGTTTGTGCACTCCACTTTGGCAGCCTGGGGTTTGCTGGTTTGGTTCCTGGGCATGGACCTACACACTGCTCATCAAGCCAAGCTGTGGCAGCGTCCCACACAGAAGAACTAGAGTGACTTACAACTAGGATATACAACTATGTACTGGGGCTTTGGGAAGGAAAAAAATAAAAAGAGGAAGATTGGTAACAGACGTTAGCTCAGGGCCAATCTTCCTCACCAAAGAAAAAAAACGCACATACCTTAAAAAAAAATCGATTGATGAACTTTAAAAAAAAGACAAACAACCCAATCAAAAAAATGAGCAAAGGACTTGAATAGACGTTTGTCCAAAGAAGGTATGCAAATGCCCAAAAGCACACGAAAGGATGCTCAACATCATCAGTAATTAGGGAAATCAAAACCACAGTGAGACACACTTCACACTCACCAGGGTATCTATAATCACAAAGATGGACAATAACCAATGTTGGCAAGCACATGGAGAAATTGGAACCTATGTGCACTACTGGTGGGAACAGAAAACGATGCGGCAACTGTGGAAAACAGTTTGGCAAGAAAATAGTTTCTCCAGGCTAAACATAGAATTACCACATAACCCCACAATTCCACTCCTGGGAATATACCCAAAAGAACTGAAAACAAAAACTTAAACAAATACTTGTACTCTAATATTTTTGCAGCATTAGTCACAATAGCCAAAAATGGAAACAACCCAAGTGTCCATCCACAGATAAATAGATAAACAAAATGTGGTACATCCACTCAGTGGAATATTATTCAGCCATAAAAGGAACATTGTAGAATATGCTACCACATGGATGAAGCTTGAAAACATCATGCTAAGTGAAGCAGCCAAACGCAAAATGACAAATACACTTGCGTGACTCAATTTACACGTAATATCTAGAATAGGCAAATCCATAGAGGCAGCAAGTAGATTTAAGGTTATCATCAGCTGGGAGGAGGAGGACACTGGGAGTTATCACTTTCTGGGTACAGAGTTTCTGTTTGGGTGATGATGTCTGGAAATCGGGAGGGTTGCACTACATTGTGAATGTAATTAACGCCGCTGAATTGCACACCTTAAAAAATGGCTAAATGATAATGTTTATGTCATATGTATTTTACCGCATAAAAAAAAGAGGGAGGCAAGAAGTCAACGTCAGAAAAAAAGAGATATGAGGGTGGAAGCAGAGATGGAAGTCATGCAATCTGAAGATGGAGGGGCGGGGCCACGAGCCAAAGAATGTGAGCAGCCTCTAGAAGCTGAAAAAGGTAAGAAAGCAGACTCTTCTCTGCAGCTTCTGGAAGGAATGCAGCCCTGCCAACACTGGATTTTAGCCCTCTAAGACTCCTTTCATACCTCTGACCTCCAGAACCGTAAGATAATAAATTGCTTTGTTTTAAGCCACTGAGTTTGTGGTTATTTGTTACAGCAGCCATAGACAATGAACACAGATGTAAAACATTATTATTTTATTATAGTGCACTAACCGTGACGCACTAATTCACTTTGTAGTTGATCCACGGGACTTTTAAAGTTCCACATCAGAGAGCTCTACAGTTTGCGTACAAGTGCTGATTAGCTGGCAGGAGGAGCCCACTCTGTGTTCAACCAGCGTCTGATTGAACTGGAATTCACTGAGTGACTTGGACTGTCGGACAGTGGTGCCCTTTCATGAAAAGATAAGCTTTTAGAATAGACTCAATTAATGATGTCCCAAAGAAAAATCTTTCTCCCTACAAAAACCTTCCGGAAAATCCATGCGACATTTTAACTGTATAATTTATGAGAATTATACCTGTGTGACACAAGTGGGACTGCATTCTTGTGTTCACAGCCTCTCATGTCTTGCCCTTTCTCTACAGCGCCCAGCGTGACCTCTTATCACACCGTTCCCTTGAGATGAGGGCTGATACCTGGTCTTATTAAGCTTGGCATCCTTAGCATAGAATTTACTTATTTATCCTCATATCTAATTATGGAATGAAAGGCTTTCTATTTGATAATCTGCTAGGTGGGAAGATAATGTTCTGGAGAGTATCCTAACAGATTGAAAAAACCAGGATGTCCCAAGGATATCTATATCCTAATAAGTGAGACCTAGAGATAGAGTAGTATTAACTTCCAAGAACCTACAGAACTTTAGCATCTGGCCGCAGCATCTCTCTCCAGCCTCTCTCCTAACACCAAGATCTTTATTCCTAGGCATACCCAGGTGGTGTTCCTGTGAAAACACCAGCCTCCGGCTAGTTTCAATGCCTAAGATTCTTTGTGCCGAATTCCAAAGTTGCTTCTTATCCATTTACTACCTTCACATGACTTTGCTCCACTCCATAAACTCAATAACCGCCAATCAAGTTACAGACAGGTGCACCGGGGTCACTTACCTAAGCTCCAAGCCAGGGCTACAGACGTCCTTTATGTGGTAGCATTGGGTGGGTACAACGACTTTGCTGGCAGTTGGGTGTCAACCATTGTCCCCACAGAGTCCTGAGTCTCAAGGCTGATGGAGGCAGTGGGTTTTCTGACAGTCCCAGAGGTGGCGGTGTTTCACTGTGGTGACTGATGCACAACCAAGGAGGAATGGAGCCCAGGTGGAAGAGCAGCTGCCCGAGGTACTGTTCAGCACTCTGCCAAATCACTTCTTCCCAGAGCTACCTGATCAGTCTGTGGTTTCCTGCACTTTGCTTACAAGCTAAGGTAAACAAAGAAAACGTGGCAAATCCACCTGCCCTTTCTTTCTTCCCGTTCTCCCCATGAAAATGACACCTTGGATACAGCGGATCAGTGAACAAACCAAAGAGACCTTTGTTAAAAAAGAACGAGGTAGAAAGTAAAAGAAGTTTGGCAACCGTCATTGCCACTTAATAAGACATTTCTCCAAATAATTCTTATTTTTTTCTGATTACAGAAGGAATGCATATTTACTATAAATAATTTTGAATATAGAGAAAAACACAAAGAAGAAAATACAAATCATGTCATCCTACCATCTTGAGATAACCACTATCCCTTCTCCAACACCTTCTATACTCTTACCCTGCCCTATTTTTGTTCATAGTTCTGTTTATTATTATTATTGCTGTTGTTAAGTCCACAAAGCCAGGGAATTTGTCTCCCTGACACCAGAACACTGCTCAATAAATATTTATTCACTCAATAAATATTTGTTAATAAATAAACACTTTGGTGTATTACCTTCCAGTCTTTTTCCCTAAAAACATGTATACATAAATTATGTTTATAAAGCAGTATTTTTGTTAATTTTCAAAGCCATTCTATTCCCAGGAGCCCCAAAGAGAATACCTGAAACACTCATGATTTGAAAGATAAAGCCCCAGTTGACTCAACTATATGTTGATTCCTCTCTCGGCACTTTCAGAGCAGCAGCTTTGGGAAATGGGCCCTGGAGAACGGATAGCAATACTTATATTCCAGCTAGAGCTGAAAGCCTTTCAAAGGGCTGCTTGGCATGACTGTGTCATTTCCCCTTTAGTGTCATGCAGCTGCTGGGATGTGCACAGACAGAGACATAACTGGTGATTGGGTTTACCCAGAAGTAGGGCTGAGCAGACTGGACACAATGGGAGATCAAGCTTGTGAGAGCACCTCGGAGCAAGTGCAACGTGAAGGCATCTGAATGGGTGGTTATTGACTGTGCAGCTCACTCCATTCCTCATCTTCACACTTGCCTTGACTTAAAAAATTTGAGAGCATCTGAAGTGACCTATTCAACACGCCTTCAATTTACATCAACGTTTTCCTGACTCTCCACCCATACTGTCATCTTTCTTCTCTTCTCAGAAACAAAAAATCCTTCTTCCTTCCCATGGTTCCTCCTTCCTTGTGGTTATGCTCTTAATGGCAGCCCATTCCGACTTCCCTAGGATTCGCTCCATCAGTTATCTCCTCTCTCTACTCATATCTTCAGTCTTTCCAGATATATTGATTCCTTCCCCTCTTTTTCTGACTGTCCTCAAACTACCTGATCCTAAAAGTAACCCTCCTTCCCACTCACATTACCCATCCCATTTCTTCCCTTCTTTTCATGTCAGCCTGATTGACAGAGAAGTTTACACCTCTTGCCTCCATCTCCTCTCCATCCACTCTTTCCTTAACTTCCTGTAATCTAGTTTCCACCTTGATCCCAAGACCACCAATGACCTTCTAATTGCTCCATCTGAAAGCCTTCATTCACCTCATCCTTCTCCACCTCTGTAGCCTCTCACCTTCTCAACTATCGTTATCAACTGTATAACTACTGGCAAGAATAGTCTCCTTGAAATTTCTTCCTCACCTCTCTATTCTCCCTCCTAATACATCCTACACGCTGATGACAAATTAATCTTTCTAAGGTACAATTGCGTTATGTAAGATTAATTTAATTTTTTTTCTATGGCTAAACCAGACATTCAATAAGTCTTGTATCCTTGGAGAGAAGGTGCAGAGATGTGGGATAAAACATAACACAGAAGATTTTCAGCAGCAGACCTTTCATAGATGCAAACAAAGCTCACCCAGAGGGAAAGCTCAATGGCTCTACTCACCATCAAGTGTGATAAAGTGGGCACGGCCACTGCCGTTGTCAACAGTCTTTGGTGAATTCGAATACAGTAGGAGCTAAGGAATGTCCTGCAAACTTACTGCAATTGGTTGTCTCGTCTATCCCAGTCCTTCTAAATTTGCCTTAGTGCAGTGATGGCCAAGGTGGAGCAAGGTAGAACCACACTTCTGATGTGTCAGTTACTTAGATCTGAACCAAGACAGGGATAAACCACCAATCTGCAGTACTCAGGAAGGTCTCCAGCACCCAGGCCTTCTTCACCAGCTCTTACTCTCATAAGTCAAGCCTTTCCCATCCAGGATCTCATTCTCTGACTGCTGACAAGTCCCCTCTCAAACCCTTGCTCTCCTCCTCCCAAGGTGCAGTCATCAGACACAGGCTTGCTCAGGACCAGATTTCTATGTTTACTTTATCGTCATCATCTCATCAGCATGAGGGAAGGATCCTATCTCCAGTGGCCCAAGCAAGGGGATACACACCCTTCAGTGTCTGTGATACCCTCTCCTCCATTCCCTCAACTGTGCTCTTGCTGTCTTGCTGTCAGGGAACCAAAAATGCAATCACTTCAGCCATCCCCTCCCTGTCATCTCTGCTTCTCCACTCTGCCTTGCTGGCCTGCAATAGACCTTAACTTCATTCATTTAACACATTCTCTTTCTACTAACCAACCCCCAAATTCCCCTTCTTGAAAGCAATACGTTTATCCTGTTCTGTATTACCCAACGAGATCGTTAAGGATTTTTGGTGTAGGTAAAACTTGTCGACTTTGGCAAAAGGTATCTGTTAGAATAGAATGAGCAAGGAGGATAAATCTAGGCCTGATTTTAAAGTTATGAAAGTCTGACCTACCTTCATCATTGATGGGAATGCATCTGGGGACCGCAGGTTTTAACCCCTCGTACTCACTATGAACTCATGGACAAATGGACTTACGAACAGCTTGTTTGTAAGTAGAGGCAAATCAATATGATTAAGTGGATCAATAACTGGCTGAACAACTTTACCAAGAGATGCACTGGGGCTGGCACAGTGGCATAGTGGTGAAGCTCACGTGCTGCACTTTGGCAGCCTGGGGTTCGCAGGTTTGGATCCTGGGCATGGACCTACACACCTCTCATCAAACTACACTGTGGTGGCATCCCACATATGAAATAGAAGAAGATTGTCACAGATGTTAGTTCGGGGCCAATCTTCCTCGCCAAAATAAATAAATAAATAAAATAAAAACAAAACTTCCTTATAAACAAAGAGATGCATGTTGGTAGACTCATGTCAATCTAAAATGACATCTCTTTTGCTTGGTCAGTCTTCATTTTCGCTCTGTTCATGCTTCTCCAATACATGAGGGGATAAGAAAATCAGTGCTTAAGATTTTATTTTTAAGAAAGAATCATGGTTCTCACACAAACATAAAATGAACACGTGTCCATTAATTAGCTCTTAATTAATAGTGGAAGCAGGGGGCTGGCCCGGTGGTGCAGCGGTTAAGTTCGCACGTTTCACTTCTTGGCGGCCCAGGGTTCACCAGTTCAGATCCCGGGTGCGGACATGACACCACTTGGCACGCCATGCTGTGGTGGGCATCCCACATATAAAGTAGAGGAAGATGGGCACGGATGTTAGCTCAGGGTCAGGCTTCCTCAGCAAAAAGAGGAGGACTGGTGGTAGTTAGCTCAGAGCTAATCTTCCTCAAAAAAAAAAAGGAGAAGCAGGCCCTTTCACATAGTGGAAATCAGTTGCATCTCCACTGGACAAAACTCATTTGTATTTCCGCAGACAAGAATTATTTGTATTACTGTGTGTTTTCTACAATTTACAATTGCAAAAGAGTTCAGTCAAAAACAATGAAAGACATGGACCCCTGGAAATCAGACAATCCATTTCAAGGCCTTTCACGATTTTTCCTGACAGCAAGAGGAAATTTAATAATCGTAAAGCAATCTGAGGTTTTGTGCTGGGGCCAGTTACAAGGAGAGCGGAAAAGGCTGTAGCTTAGCAGTCGTGCATGTGGGAATGGCTTAGGAATTTAAATCAGTGTTATATTCAGTATGATGAGGCTGTCAAAAAAATCTTCGTATTTTCTTTTTTTTCCAACTGAGCCATCGTCTGTAGAATGAGAGAAGAGCAAGGCCTGCTCTGGTCAGCTGGGATCAGACAACTGGGTTCTGTGTACCACATTTTACAAAGGTCAGAGACAGTCAGGAAGGCAAGGGAATGTGATACATGCCCATGAGGAGTGATGGAAAGCTAGGAATATTCGCTCAGTCTAGAGAAGAAAAAGCCCGAATAGGAACAGGATAGCTGTCTTCACATTCTTATAGGACAAATGGAGAAGAAGGCGTAATGAAAGTCTTCCTAAATAATAACCAAATTTATGGTGATGATGACAATATCAGTCAGCATTTATTGAGCTCTGTGTCAAACCCTGGGGTAAGCGCTTTACAAGTGTCATCTCACTTAATCCTCATGACAGTGAGAAACGAGCGCCCAAGCCAGGACTTGGCAGACAGAGATGTCAAACTATGGGGGGGAGCCAAAGGCCTCAAGCGCCCTCTGAGCTCCTAGATTACACAGTTCTGTGTCAACTTTCTGTTCAAAGACCTTCAATGGATCCTCATTGGCCACTATGTTAAGTATAAATTTCTCAGCCTGATAACAAAGGCTCCTCACAGGATGGCGCAAATCACTCTCTCCAGGATCGTAACCCAGATAGTACTACCACCAACACCACCACCGCTCCTGCCAAACATACCACATCCAGCCGTGCAAGATACTGACTCAACCAACTCTTCACCAACTCAGTCAACCCTCCAACCTCTATAATTCTGCTCATGCTTTTCCATCTCCAATGCTTCCTCCTCTACACAGTCATTCTAGTACGTTCTTCCCCTCCTCTCCCACCCTCTCCCTCCCTACAACAGCACATTGTACTCCTTTGCCACATGCTGGCTGCTGTCACAGTTAATAAGTACTGGTTTTATCTCTTCTGCTGGATTGTGAACTCCTTGAGGGGAGGGCTGTTGAATGGGTGTGTTGAATGGCCAGAGAAGGAAGGTGGGAGTTAGATGGGGGAGAAGGAGCTCTGGGAACATCCCAAGGCAACAGAAGCAACCCCAGGTCCTTCACCAGGGCAGCAATTTCTGAAATGCCTCCATCACCTGTACTTCCCTGAGAGATGTTTTCTCTTTTTTCTCCCCTCTTAACAATATGAGAAAGGTGTGAAGGAGACGCCGAGCAGTCTGTTTCCTGAAGGCAGCCTGGCCTCCCTGGAGTGGAGGGCATCCTGTTGGATGACAGGTGTGGGTTTCCTCCTTTCAGTACCTAGCCTGTGAGAGGTGGTTCACAAGGGTTTGTCAAATGACTGTATTGATTTATTGTAGTGGAGGTCAAGACTGGACAAGAACCTTTGGGTCCAGATTATAGGAGGCCTTCACCACCAGGACAACGGGACACTTGCCCAGGAAAGTCAGTTCCCTACACAATTCTCCCTAATTGTCTCATTTGTATTTTCTAGAATGTAGTTTTGTAAAATGTGCTCATACAGTTTTGTTTTTGGTGACCTCATTCACTCATGTCCTGCTCTAGTTTCTTAACACTATGGCAGACATTTGACGCTTTGTGTTTTTTCTGCTTTGTCACTTCCCACCCAGACCTCGAATGTGCTTTCCCCCTCCTTCTTGGACATAGAAATTTCCTTCGCCAGTTTTCCCCTCTCCCTCCCCCAAATCCGTAGGAGCCTCTGGACAGGTCTGTTCTTCTCTCGAGGATGTTCACTCTTTCCTCCCTTCGCTGTTCAACTGCTCTGTTTCAACAGACAGTTATTTACTTTAGCTTGGACTTCTCTGGTTTCCATTACTGAGGTCCTATTCTTTTCCTGTTGAAGGCTGCAGAGAAAGCCAACCTACCCAGAGAGCAATCAGGAATTTCTCGTTGATCAGCGGGTTGTCTGCACTTTTCACATCTCTTTTCCAGAACCACCGGGAGCATCAGCAGCATCCTCTCCACTCTAGATGGGTGGGCTCCTGGCCACTCTGGCTGTCCTGCCCTCTGGAAGTAACAGGAGGGAGGTGCTCTGAGCTACCAATTCACTGTTGCCTCTATGATCTCAACCCTCAGAACAGCCCTGTCACCTGGGCTACCATCTCTACGCCACTGATAAAAATATTGCAATGTAGAGAGATTGTACAATATGCCCGACGTCCTGGAGCCAGTGAGTGGCAGAGTCACGATGCAAACTCCAGCCTTTCTGACTCAACATGGACACCTTTCCCCCAGACTACAGAGCATCTTCATATTTTGCACTGGGGTTAGAAGAAGACTTACATTTTCTTTAAGGTGCTGCCCTGACACAAATTTTTTAAAGTAAAAATAAATTGCTCCATTAAAACAAAAAAATCACATTTGAACACTCTAACACAATGTTAACCCTCTTGTAAACATAACAGACGTGTCACCTTTGCAAAAATCCCTCACTGAAACTACCTTCTGTCTGGTTCACGTTGTGAACCATGTAACCATACATGTTCTGTGAATCAACAACCGTATAAAACCAAGGATCAAAAAATGTTGCTCGAACCAGTGTTGCTTCAGGGATGCATTTGCCATATTTCCTACAGCTCTCTTCCTTTTTCCAGAATTTCTCCCCATTTCCGTTTCTAGAGGTTTTCTTTCAAAAACTGCCAAGATTTGTAATGAATCCATTCACTTTCATTCCCTGCGTCTTAACAGCTTCAGCAACACGGTTGTCCAGCTTTGGACCCTGGATGAGCCCACGGCATGGTCACAGACTGAAGAGCACAGCTTCTCCCCTTGGATCACTGTCAATTTCACAGCATCCTCAAGTTTTTCTAACCTGAAGGATGACGTGTTTGCCTTCTCCCCTGTCTGTTCCCTGCAGTCAACTTAAGTCTAGAACATAAATTCATTTTTAATTACTCAAAAAATTTAGTCCATAGTTCAAAAGATGCAAGAGGGTATATACTTTCTTGTCTCAGTCACTCAGTTTCCTACACACAGGCTACCACTGTCACCAGTTTTTTTTGCAGCTCATGGACTGTTGATGTCTTTTGCCAATTCAAACAAGAAAGGTCTGGGTGAATAGTTTACTTTTTCCTGTGGCTTTAAGCTACTTAAAAGAAAATTCACCCATTCAGTTCAACCCACTTGAATTCCATCTCCACCTTCAGTCTCGACTTCAACGGCACTTCCCACTGGAAGCCTTTCCTGTCCCTCCCATGCCTGTGTGAGGCGACCCTCCATTGTGCCCCCATGACACCAGGCACTTACCCCATCATCCATCACGCTTGTCAAGCAGAGTGGAAATCGACTGTCTGTCTGCTTCTCACCTCGGAGCAGAGACCAGCACAGGACCCGGCACACAGAATGCATTCAGGGAATATCTGCTGAAGTAAAGCATTATCTTTATCCCTACATGTATTCTGAGTTATGCACAAAGTCCTGGGAACGCAGAGGTAACCAAAGCACCGCAGCTCCTCTAACCTTCCTGGCATCTTTATATAGTTTACAAAAAAAAAAAAAAAAAAAGGCAGAAAGAGAAAGATCTGCTTCTATTAGTTCTACTCTTAATGTAGGTTCACTGGGTAGCACAATCACCATTTCTCATTTGCTCAGTCTGATCTGTTCTGTCTCTTACTGTTACCAAGTGTTCCACCATCTCCCTTTATTGACAAAATGTGGCTAAGATTCCCTCTCGTTTGAAGCAGCAAAGGCTGAAGATTCTACTTTGCTTTGTCATTTTTTCTTTCTCCAAAGTGACGTCTGATTGACTCTCCAGTGCCGACTGCTGAAAATACTGGCAAGGAACTAGCTGGTGAGACTGCACCATCTGTTTTTAAAACTTCATCTGAAAAGTTACACAGAGGGCCGGCCCCGAGGCCAAGTGGTTAAGTCTGCGTGCTCCACTTCGGCGGCCCAGGGTTTCGCTGGTTCAGGTCCTGGGTGGGGACATGGCACCGCTCGTCAAGCCATGCTGAGGCGGCGTCCCACACAGCACAACCAGAGGCACCCACAACTAGAACATACAACTGTGTACTGGGGGGGCTTCTGGGAGAAGAAGAAAAAAAGAAAAAGGAAGATTGGCAACAGATGTCAGCTCAGGTGCCAATCTTTAAAAAGAATAAAAAAGAAAGAAAAGTTCCATATAGATGAATATCAGGTCTCGAAATATACACAGGGGCAGTGTCAGTGTGCTGGGGTGTCAGAGCAGGAAAGTGGGAAAAGACTCAGTGGAACCCTGTCTGGGTCTTCTGCCAGCCACCACACATGGGCGGGCTGGTGGCCGGCTCTGAGCTTCTCCTGAGTGACAGGGACTGTGGAGGCCCCCTGAGTCATCACTGTGGAGTTTGTGAAAGCGTGGACTGAGCTAACGAATGCCGGTGTCTCCCATACTACCTGACATATCAGCAATGCTAAGAAAGGAGTAGTCAGTCCTGCATTATGATGACATCTTTGATACTTAGCATTTTTTAATTATTTTAAAATTAAAGCTGTCTTAACTATAAATTCCTATATAGGTAACATGGAGCGTCTGCCCTGTGCAATGGCCTTGGGCAAGTCACCTTATTCCAACAGTCTTCCTCTCATATCAAGAATGATGAGGTTGGGCTGAAAAAAGGATGGATTCTCAGAAAACCAAACAGTCACGTGCAATGGGTGAACCTGAATCGGATTCTTGTTTAACAAAAAAAAACGAGCTAACGATATTCTCAGCATTGCTGATATTTAAATATGACTGCCTAATAGATCCTACGGGATTATGAGTTTTTCCAGGTGGGACAGTGGTTTTGTGGGCCTGTAGAATTTTGTTACTCACAGGCAATGCATACTGAAGTATGAAGATGTCTGCAAATGCATAGGAAAAAGACTGTGAGTTTGGTGAGAGTGTGTGAGTGTGTGTATACAGAGAGAGATTGAGAGAAAGAAATAGAGCATATTGTTTTTTTAAAAAAATGATCTCTGAATTCCCTTTTTGCTGTCATTTCAAATTTCTAAGAACACATCAAATCTCTATGACCATATTGAAATATTAAAAATTATTCTATTTAACTTAACGGTAAGCCCAGCTGAACAAGAAACACATTCTTTATCTTTCCCCCTGGCTTTCAAGCTCTAATTTCAGCCTTTAAAATCGAAATATTCTGTCTCATCTGCATGATCTTAAGAAAGTCTCAAAACTTTGAGTATACTAAAAATTATGTATTTTTTAAATTCTTTTCATTCATTTTATTTATCTTAATTTTTATCGACATTTGACTGCCTTCCATTCCCTCAATGGTCCTTCATGCTTCAGACTTTGATTAGGACCTTTGATTAGGGTTTCATTCTTGGAAGTCTTCATTGGTTCTTTCATAGACATCATTTACATAGATTTCCCTGTTTCTTCCTGGCTGTCAATATTTTCCTGTAGATTTGTCTCCTCTCTGTGCGGTAATTTAGTTCTTTAATTTGCCCTGCCTTCACCACACTTCTTATTACCTCTACATCTTTTTCATTATCTCCTCTTCTCCCACACTCCCTGGGAAGAGGGGGCACTTGGCACCCCGTGCCACCGCCCTACTCTCTGCCTTCCTTTGTTACACGCAGTCCTCTGAGCAACTTTGCAAAGCTGGCGTGGCTTTATTTAAAATAGAAGCGTGTGTGTATGTATATATATATGTACATATGTATATACGCATATACATATAAACACACACATATATAGATATTGCACTTAAACATTTTTAACAAAAATATTGAAATGCCGTGGCAGAAGGACTTTTCTCTCCAAGGACGTAAAAATGGAAGCTGCCCAGAAACAGTCCCCCACCTTCCTCTCTAGTCTGGTCTTTTTTCAGGAGCTTATTGGATTGATGAGGCGCTTTGAGAGAAGAAAGGCTGGCCCCCCTCAGTCTGTTTCCCTCCATTCCTTGCCTTCTGTCGCCACAACTTGTGGGGTTCACTGAGTCCTCTTCCCCCCTCCTCCACCCTCTCTGTCCCCACCTCGCCCTGCCCTCACCCAGCCACTCCCAGGGCTTCCTGTCAATTCACCTTTTCTCTGGTTCACAGAACCCTTGAATGATAATCCTCTTTTATTTTCCTGAACTTCTGAACTCTTCTTGCGTCTTTACCTCTGGTCTTTGGCAATCAGCCTCAGATTCCTTTATCTGCCCTTGGCCTGGCTGCAACTTTTGCCCACAGAGAATAAGAATGCCTCGTTTTCACTGATTCTGGGTCCCGACTGACTTTTGGCTACAATGAATGCCACGCTGCATTTTTCTTTGCCCCTGTTCTTGTCTTCCTTTTAGCTGACGCCACTTTTCCTTTCCTGTCTGTATTCATAATCCAGAGCTCCTTTTTCCTTTTCCTTTGCTCTCTGGTTTCCCCAGTGTGAGCTAGCTCAGTGTGGTTCCCCCACCCACCTCTTCTATTCTGATTCTGGGCAAACTGAAACGCCCTTTAATCCCACAGGTTACCGAGATATTATTTCACCACCTCGCGGAAGGAATTCCCCGCAGCCTGCACACCCAGGCTGGCAGTTTCAGGAGTCCCACATTCGAATGCTCATCAACCTGTGTTTACAGGCTGTGTAACTGCTCCCGGTCTTCAGCAACGAGCTGACCTCGCCCTGTTCCCAAAGGTGCAAGGATTATTCCACCATCTCCCCGCCGTGCGCAACTGTACATTCCTCTGTCGACACTCCAGTCGGACCTGGTATTTTACTTGGCTGGCATTATAGTGACTTGTTAGCCAGCCTAAAATAGCATCTTTCGTACCCACGTTATTTCTCGTTTAGGACGTCAAAGCTTTTGTTTCTCGTCCTGCTTGGTGTGGTGCAATTGAAAAATCAGAGGCTCCCATTTCGATCCCCAAGTATTTTTTAAGACCTGTCATGTACCGTCTCTCTTTGAAGGCTTAGTAACACACATTCTAGGAAACTAAATTTCACCCATGTGTCTTTTGGGATTAGAGTCAAGAGACTCTGTACTCAAGATTCTCTAAACAAAATTCCTGCCGTGGAATATTTTTCAGATGACAAAACATCCTTTCTAAATGACCGGGTGATCGGTTCTCTTCCAGTCAGTCAACAACTTGTGTAAGTCCCTTTTTCCTTTGGTGAGTTTCCTTTTTTTGTATGGAAAATGAAAAACGAATAACAGTCTCACACTGTACCTGTGACTCTGCACAGGAAGCACAACCTTTCTTTCTTCTCCCAGGTCCCACCTCAACATCTCACCGTTTCTACTCTTTCTTCTATTCCGAGTCTATGACTAAAATTCATTAGAAGAAAGCTGTTCCTGCCAAGTGCAGTTAGCATGTCATCAGCCAGTCAGTCAACAGGTATTTTCCAATCAGTTCTATTTGACAGTCATCTCAAAAATAGCCTTGGCAAATTCCCACAATGCCACAGCCTTGAATCAAGTTGTGAGGAGGCAAAATGTGGAGCATCCCTCTGGGTTGTCCACCCATCTTGTAGGGCACATGGTGTCAGGGAGGAAAAACTTTTCCTTTATCCTCTTAAATTCTGTCTTGTAGTCCTGCAAATTAAACTAACAAAAGACAGATTAACAGGAGCAAAGGCATACAATTTTTATTAATATTTTACATGCACGAGAATTCTTAGAAAAGAAGTGAGACTCAAAGAGGTGCTTAGATTCAGAGGCTTATATACCATTTTAACAAAGGAAAGGGGGTTTGGGCTTCAAGGGCCGAGAAATTGTGGGGCAGCGACTAGGATATATATGTGGGAACTAATGGAAGATAAGGGTTATTTTAGTAAGGTCTGTTTATACAGGACTCATCTCTGTAACGACTCTCTGTCTCTGTGAAATGAGTTGTCCTCCTCTTCCTGGTGGTACAGGAAAGAGGGATTCTGTCACAAAGGGAAATTTATGCCCTGCTTTTAGGTGGATAAGGGGAGGCCAGAGGAGTCTTCCTGCACCTGTTGATTCTCGGTTATCTTCAGCTCAAAATAATCCTTATGCCAAAGTGGCCCATTTTGGGATGGCGTACCCTGATCCCCTTCCATGGCTCCAGACTTAAGTGCAACCAGGGCTGACATTTTCTCCTGGCACCTTACCCTGGGCAGTGCTTTTTGATCATCATTCCCATTTTTCAGCTGAGTAAACTGAGGCTTGCAGCAGTGAATCCTTCTCCTTCTCGAATCTGATCTCCAAATGACTTAATTCCATTACCTGGTGCCGTTCCATAATCTCACCTTTCTTCCCTCTCCAGCTCATTCCTGTAGCTGCCACTGAGGTTCTGTGTTTAAAAATCTCTTCTGCTCCTTACCTTCCTAGTGGGGACCCTTTGGTTTCTTCTCCCTGACTTCTCCCACTGGCCCTGAGTGGAAGAATGAAAGAAACGGGAGGAAGAGAGACCCAAAGGAAGCTGAACTCTCATAGCTCATGACGAGAACCCACACCCCTTTGTGGACCAGATGCTCACGTCCTGCGGTTCAACCACAAGCTTGCTTTTGTGACCATCTCCCCTGTTAGTCTCAAGTGTCCCTCGGAACCTAAACCCGGTCCTCACTGCCTTGAGGGGGTGCTCTTGAGCTGATGCTCCAGCCGACTCTTTCCATACAATTAAGATGTTCCCCAAACATTCCAATACAAAGAAATGTGAGCCCTTTTGGGCAGAAGTAAACCAAGGACCCCCAGAGTAACAGATGGTTAGAGTTGGAATAGCCTCAGGACAGGGACTACTGTCTCCCACCGGAACAGTGTGCGGGCCGTGTGAGTGTCTAACTGACAATGGTTTTTATTGACAGTCCATGACGGTGGGACAGGACCTGCCTCAAACTGGAATCAAGTCCATTGAGAGGCTTCACTCCTCTCTATTCTCTTCTGCCAATAATCCTTCATTGTGCCCATGTGTCATGGTGTTATTTGAGTGGAATTAAATTGGAACGCTTGCATTGTCT